AATGCCCTGTGCAAGCTAACTGCCTTTACAGTAGAAATGTCTTTCAGTGTCTCTGCTTTTAGCTGTGTTGTCATTGCCATTGACCGGTATTTTGCCGTAGCCTATCCATTCAAGAGACCGTTTCAGGGCAAGATGAAAAAGGTCATTGCAGTAATTTGGATTGTTGCAGTCGTAATCTGTTCTCCAGACTTGTACTTTTCTACCACAATTCAATATGGCAACTTAGTGTATTGTGTTGTACTTGACAAGAACTGGTCATCATACCTATCTTACTATTATACATTGCAAGGTTTGAAAAGTATTTTGCCTATGGTGCTCATCACAATCACCTACACTTTCACCATCTTCAAACTTTATCATCGTCAAGTACCCGGATTGCAAACATCAGAACGAAGAAGAAGAAAGCAGCAGAATAAAAAAGTGTTAAAACATGCTGTGACAATTGTGGTTTTGCTTTATCTTTGTCGCGGGTTTTGGTTCACTGTTTATATGTTGTCTTCTCAAGGAAAGTTGGACTATCTCTCGTTCTCATCGTATTATAATTTGGTGTATGCCTCATATTTCATTTATTTCGTCAGTCTCGTGTACAATTTCTTCATCTACCTCATCTTCAATGATATTTACCGTGAGAATATCAAAGCTCTGATACCCAAGTGTTGCTGTCGACGTGATGCTAGCAGGAGGCAGGAAAGACCAGGTGGAGGAGCAGTTATAGAAATGAACGAACTGAATTAAAGACAAGAAAAATAGAAACAAAGAATAAGAAAGAACATTACAAAATTAAGCACCGAAAAGAGAAAGAAACACTTCATGTTAAGAGCGATATATTGATGTACTATCAAGTGGATTTTATTGGGTTTGTGAAAAACTGCTTTAAATCAATTCTACCAAGAACTTAAAAAGTATGATATTTCTTCACTAATGATTTTGACTGAACAGTCAGTCGTGAACTATAACATGCAAGGTCCATGGATTAAACTCATGTTAGTATCTTATTGAACTGACAGACTCTGTATGTCCACAACCAGCTGCTTACTAAAGTGTTAAGAAATGATAAAACAGTATAACGGTTGAAGACTAAAATAATCCTGGGAATAGATTATAGACTAACTCATGAACTTATGAGTTATAAAATAGTAATATAATATATTAGAAAAGATGGTCAATAGATATATGACAATACTGTAAGAATGGCTTCGTGTATTTAGGATTGATATAGTTGATTGGTCAGCAATATTATTACAAGTGTATTCTCAACCAAAATGCCTTGCACCATAGAATCATTTGAAAACAGTCTCTTTTTTATTTTCTTAACTGCTGTTCGTCGGCCATTAMGTTTGCACATTATTTTGGATGCCATGTTTGTCGTATGAAAAGTGACTAGACATTATATTTTGGGTTTATAGAAGGTGGTGTATTTGTTAGTAGTGTTGAAGGTAGAAAAATCCACATGAAGTTTTCCAAAGATTGGTGTAGTTTTGTTTTTCTTCCGAATTTACATGAATTAAATTACAAGATATCAAAGAACATCAGTATTTGAGTAGAAGTAAAGAGAGTATATTTAGTTAAAATGCGATAATTTGGGTTAATTTATGAGAACATAAGTAAATAAGATTGTAAATAATTTCTTTCTTGTCATTAAATGTTTCCTATATCGCATCATAGTGAATTACTGTTTGACTATTATGTAAGTTTATGTAAGTTAGAAACTTAGAATACGACAAAAATAAATTTAAGAAGTAAAGTACTATTTTTTGTGTTGTCCAGTTTTTGACTTATATCATTGTTTATTCAAGTTCATTAAAAACATTTCAGGATAATTGTGGATTTTGGTCGAGTACTATCAAACGATAGTGAACTCAGACTCGTGGTCTAATTGTTAGACATACAGTAGTTTCTAAGTCCGCAGCTGGTCTATTGAATTATATAATGAGAACGAAACGATCAGAAAATAGACATGGAAATATTTGTTTTGAACATTTTGCATAAGATTACAAATTGTCTTTCGTGAGTAATTAGAATCTCGACGATTTTCCGACTTCTTCTCGGTTGACAGCTCTCTGATCAATGCAGGGGCGGTTCCAGCTGAAATTTGTTATGTATTTCTGAAACAAATATCATCGTCCCAAACGTGTTTTTCTATAGTTGTTATGTCAATGACTTGGGGAAACTAGAACAATTGAAGTACGCGTTATGATTAATATGGACAATTATTTTCGTTTCTTTATTTAATTGCTACTTTCATGAAAATGGCCTTATTTCAAAACTTCAAGCAATACAAATATATGACTCATTTATATCTATTAAAAACAATTGCGGGAAAATATTTGTCTTGGAATTATCCCACATCAGAGAAATTTTGATTCAAAAGATGGAAGAACAAAAGGATGGAGTAAGTGACGTCATCTACTCCAACATTTTTTGCCCAAATTATTAATGATTTCCATCAATATTTTCTTGAAATCTGTTGCTTCATGATTATTACACCCACATGGATAGGTCTATTTGATTTCCAAGTCTTTTCTAATCTTTCGCAATTTTCGTCCAAGTAGCCCTTTAAGAACATAAATTCATTATAAATTTCAGCACGAACCAACCCTGTATAGATTAGGGAGCAACACTAGGCAATTTCATCTAGTGTCAGTCATCTACAGCTGTTCGTAGGTTATCGACTTCTCTAATTGCAAAAGACCATTATTACAAATGCGATCTTTATGATTCAAATATACAAAACTAGTCGACAATGTTGTTCATCAATAGAACTCTGCAGGGTATTTAAGATGTCATTCATTACTAATTTCATTATTTTCAAACACATTTTGTCAACGATAAAGTTCACTTTTATGCTGAACTTATTCATTCTAAAACATCACCAGCAGGGCGAACGGTATAAACACGATGTTTAATAATTCTACTCTCAACTCTACTCGTCCTGGTATTCCTGTTCCTTACTACGGCAAGATACCATGGACTGCGGCCTTTTCTCTTCAATTTGTTATGGCCATGATGGGAAACTTCCTTATAGTGTGGATAGTCTTTAGGGACATTCGATTAAGAAGTACCACGAATTACTTGATAACCAACATGGCGGTCAGTGATCTTATTGCAGCTCTCTTTGCCTTTCCAAGACAAATAGTATTGATAAACTTTGACAGCCAATTGCTCATTGGTGGGGTCATTGGTAATGCCCTGTGCAAGACAACTTTATAATAGAAATGTCCTTCGGTGTGTCTGCTTACAGCTGTTTTGGCATTGCCATTGACCGATATTTTGCAGTAGCCTATCCATTGAAGAGACCTTTCGAGGACAAGATGAAAAATGTCATTGCAGTAATTTGGATTGTTGCCGTCGCAAGCAGTTCGCCATGCTTGCACTTTTACACCACACATCATGTTGGCAACTTAGTGTATTGTGTTGTACTTTACAAGAGCTGGTCGTCATACCTGTCTTATTATTAAGCATCGCAAGGTTTGACCAGTATTTTGCCAGTGCTGTTCATGACAATCACCTACACACTCACCATCTTCAAACTTTATCATCGCAAAGTACAAGGATTGCAAACATCAGAACAAAGAAGAAGAAAGCAGCAAAATAAAAAAGTGTTGGAACTTGCTGTGACAATTGTGGTATTTTTTTATCTTTCTCGCATTTTTTGGCTCGTTTTTGCAATGTTGCTTTATCAAGGAAAGTTGTACTATCTCTCGTACTCATCGTTTCACAATTTCATGCATGCCTCACTTTTCATTTTATACCTCAGTCTCGTGTATAACTTCTTTATCTACCTCATCTTCAATGATATTTACCGTAAGAATGTCAAAGCTCTGATACCCAAGTGTTGCTGTCGATACGATGCTAGCATAAGGCAGGAAAGACCCGCTGGAGGAGCAGTTATAGAAATGAACGATCTGAATTAAAGACAAGAAAATAGAAAGAAAGAATATGAAGCTACAATACAAAAGAATGCACCGAAAAAACAAAGTATATTTAGTTAAAATGCGATAATTTACTGTTTATATATGACAACATTAGTAAATATGATTGTAAATAATTTCTTTCCAGTCAGTACATTTTCCCTATATCGCTTCATAGTGAATTAATGTTTGACGATTATGTAAAGTTTAAAAGATAAAAACTTAGAATAAGACAAAAATTAATTTAAAAATTAAGGTACTATTTTTTTGTGCTGTTTAGTTTGTGACTAATGTCATTGTTTATTCAAGCTCATGAAAACAATTTCAGTATAATTGTGGATTTTGGTCGAGTACTATCAAGCCATAGTAAACTCAGACTCGTGGTCTAATTGTTAGACATACAGTAGTTTCAAATATGCAAAGTTTATCCACTGTTGTACATCAGTAGCCATCTGCAGCGTATATTAATTTTCGTATATTTATTTTTTCATTATTGCAAGTAGTATAGCCCTGTCAATTTAAGCCATAGTTTAATTACAGCTCATAGCTGTTTTAACCCTGGCGTTTTTAATCATAGTAACTATATTTTAACATCCTAGTTCATCAGCTTATTTACAAAATGGTGTCTGATCACCAGTACTAGAGGT